AAAAAAAAAAAAAGTTCCTCTCCTCAAAACAAACGTTTTGCAACGTAAAATCCATCCCCTAGATTCCCAGCCCAAACAGCAGCAGCAGCTCGAGCAGTCGGGACAACTTGGCTTGGGCAAAGGTCGAGCGTTGCGCGTACGAGCCGAGCAACAACTCGATCCGCACGCGAGTGGCGTTCAACGAGCTGGCCGTTACGGGCCTCGTCCGACTGGTGGCCCACGAGCCCGGTGTACCCAGCGGCCGTAGGCTCGCCGATCGCCTCCTGCCCGCCGAGTCGTGTCGCATGAGTTTGCGCCTACGTCGAGCCGGCATGGAGTTTTACACCAGCCCCATTGCCCGGGGCCGGGGCCAGATGCGCATCAGGACGGAGTCGAGCTTCCTCGAGCCGAGATTCGCGTCCATCTACGCTTACGGATGCAGGCCGGTCACATCCCCCGTCAGGAGGCCCTTTGCTGCCTACATCGATCGGGACATCGACTCGGAGCCCCGGGGCAACTTGGGCGTGTTTCCCGGACTGCTGCTGGTGAGTAATTGATTCCGCCTTTTTTTTTTTTCTTTTTCTTCGCAAGATACAAGAGCTTTGTCAATCGAGTCAAGCTATTTTTCGACTACTCTTCGTCCTTTTCTCCCCCGACACACGTTGTTGACAAAGCTATCGGCATTGGTTTTGCAGTTGCACAACAAACTTGGATGTGATTTGACAATAAAAATCGGTCAATTTTCAAGGATACTCCGAGTGCCAAAAAGCCGAGATTTCGAAAATACATTGTACACATAGTTTTAAATTAATCAAGTATACTTGTAACGCGGGTTGTAAAATGATCTGTACAATATATATGTACCATCAGGTAAAGGTTGTGAAATCCTTTTTTTTTTTTTTTTTTTTTTTTACAATTTATTGAGCAACTTTCTTGTAGGTCAAGATCGCCTATAAATATCTCTACTTCATGAGAGTTACGAATGATTTTTTCGTTTTTTTCTTTCATGGAACGAGTGTCATTAAAATTATACAGTTGCGCTATGGTTTTTTTTTTTTTTTAAAGTGATTATCCTGTG